AATTATATTTATCAGGATGAATATGCAAACATATTTACAACAACTCCTATGGTTCCGTAATGGCATATAGTAAACATAGGAACATAGATGAACTGGTTATTAGATCAAAACTCAAATTAAATAAAATGCAGTGAAATTGAATAATGTGTTCACTAGGTGGGCCCCTCATCTGCGCATTAGGCGGGCCTTACATGTACCATGTATTACGTACCTTAAATTCAACAGACAGGTTCGTTTGTTGTTTACCGTCCCTTTCGAAAATTTATTCACTCACATGGAGAGGCCAAGACACCACCGAAACACTCTTAATTAGTCGTGGTAAATTTTATTATCAAATTGTTTCAAGAGTGAAGAATTCTAGTTAGCTAAAGGCATAAGATTGAGACGTCGCCGTTGTTTTCTCAGTAATCACATCTTCACCCCTACTAATGTTATTGTGATTTAAATTCAAGACACGTGGTTTAGATTTACCTATTCAAAGGTTATAGGGTAGATCCGGTTTTATAAATAAAATTGGCAGTAAACAGGAAATTGCTATAGTCTGTTTCTTCTGAAACATGTCCTGTGAAAAATGTGTGTTTGCACACCTTTCTGAAAGACTTTCATGATTTTCAACAGAAATGGATGGCTTAATGGGGGTGGGGGTGGGGGTGGTAAATAGCAATTAATACATCTTATATACTTAACTGCAAAAATTACAGCTCACTAGCGACCGAGATGCTTGTAAAAAATATATAATATCATTTACACTGACAAACCTTTGTTTGCCTTATATGGCTATTGCTATTAATGCGCACAGAGGATCTTACCACGAGCAACGCCAAATACATGTTTACATGTTACTTCGAACACGTGGTTCAGGTCAATCTATGATCATATCAATGGAGTGCAAAGTAAAAAAAAATGTTCCTATGAAACATTAGAAACTATTAATAATATCACTGGCGTTTTTAATTTGTTAATAACTATAGAGAAAAATATGCTTAATAAAACGTATACGTAGTTCGTGTCAAGTTCAGAACACCAGCAATTCAAGGATAAGGAAAACGAGCAGCTTCTCCTATGCGTTTAAATGGACAAAACATTTTTTACATAACTATACATGTATACTCGTGATCACGTGTGTTGGCAAGGGAATCCACCTGGCAATTGTATTCACATACAGTACAATAAAGGAATTTATCAAGCGTAAAATTCCTGTAGTATTCGTATAGTAACCCATAATGCAATTCTCATTCATCTGATTTGTCAGTTAAAGTCACATTGGTGCCCCATTTGCTAATCTGACGCCAAAAAATATAGTCCCGGTTCCCATGCAAAATATTTGTCTAAAACGAAATTCTAATTCATGACAGCAGAAAATTGTATCATAGAAAAAACTTTAAAATAATTTAAACTTGAATGAATTCAAGAAAGATCGATTGAAGTACATTTCTACAGAATGATATTATAGGGTGGTGAAAACTAAAACACAACATAACTTTTCTGTTTACCATGTCTCCACGTGCTAGTCACTTCCTAGCCACAGTTCCGTGAATAATTTACTCTATCTCGCTGAAGTCTCGCTAGCTCTCGCCAGAGCCAATGTCAGAGCTACTCTGAACTCATCGGGTTTTATAATATGCAGAACACCGACAAATAAAAAGTTCCGAACACATTAGTAGGGGTGATCTTGGCGCCATTTTCTTAAACAAATCACAGTAGAACAATGTCGGTCGTTCTGCTAAAAACTGATTTTGATGAAATTGTATTTCATGAAACTTAGTTAACAATAAAAATTCTTATTTAAAAAATCTTTTCAGTCGGTGCGATTTAATTGGTTCGGTCGCGTTAGGGGAAACGAAGGTATTTTTTATTTTGGCCTAAGCCTTCTCTTATATAAATAAGAATTCTACCGCCATGACTAGTTCTATCTAATCTAAATGGAGAATTGTAACTTTCGATTGTTAAATTCTCTGTATTTACTAGTTCATTCAAATGGGTCTCTGTAAAACATAAAATATCGTTCAATTCAAAGTAGTTCGCTGTCTTGTCTAATTTGTGTCGTACAGTTCATATGAAAAATTGATAAACCATTTACGTTTAGCTCAGGACCAGGATTTTCCTCAGTATCATTACATAACAGGAGCAAAGTCATGAGGAGAAGAATATATTGGATATTTAGTATATTTCTCGTGATCAAATCGTGTAGAGGAAAAACAATACTCTTCTTATTAGTTTGCCGTATTTTAAAATAAAAAATCTTTTTCTCCGTATGGTTATCTTGTGACACACAGAGTAATAATTTCCAATCGCCGCACGATATGTCATTAGATCATTACCCATGATCTAAGACGCCAAATCTAAAAAAGTTAAGACAGCTAATTCTCGTGCAGCGACGGCAGACAGGAATGTTGACTTCATTCATAAAGCGTAACGGTTGAGTAAACAAAGCGTAAAAGGGGGCTATAGTGCAACGATGAAGTGAAAGAATAGACCAAGTGGGCTAGTAAGAAACAAAAAGAGTGAACGTGAAGAATAGTTGGAGAATGAGTGGTAAGTGAACAATTAGTAGAAACCCATAGCAATGCATTGGGTATGTAAAGGTTTTAGAAAAGGGTAGGGTAAATGTACATGCTCATATGAAATAAAGGATTACACAATTTTTATACAATCATACAAACAATGTTAATATATGTCAGTTGATAGGAGCTATAATCATAGATGGGGTAAATATAAAAAAAACTGACTATTTAATGAGTCAAACCTCGTCGTCACTGTCATGGTTAACTTCAGGAAGGAAACGCAATACATCTCTGTAATGTTTTATCAAAAGCTTTGGTGACTGGTCAGTTTCCTTAACAAATATTCTACCATCATTTGTCCAGTATGAGTCTATTCTTTTATAATAACGGGCCTTGGCTAAAGCTTGGATAATTTGTTGCCTGGAACGCGTAAGGTCCTCTGAAATGAATATTTTGCTTTCCTCTTGGTTCTTTTTTTCTGATTTCGCCCTGTAAATTCTGTTTTTAATTTTCCAATTATTGAATCTACAAATGATTTGGGCTTTCCCATTCCGAATGGTTCCTATTATGTGGGACCTACTTATGTCATTACAGGTGATGGGGGAATTAATTTCAGCTTGTCATTACATATTCCCACCACAAGTTCGTCAGTTTTGTTGACTTCAGCGACATTCATTGGAACTCCATGGAATCTAAGAGAATTCTTTCTCCCGTATTGTTCCAATTCCTCTAGCCCGAGTTCTAGTGTTTCTACTTTTGCGGTCAAAGTATTAACCTCTGCTCTTAGCAGGGACGTAGCAACAATACTTTTACTATTGAAAATGATCATTGAAAGGCTGGTTGCCTCCCCCCCCCCCCCCACTTTATATTAAAGGAAAGTGATATGAAGGAAATATAGTATTTTAAGTTTGAAAAATGGATATTGAAAGGAATTGGTAGTGAAAATAGCCCCCCCCCCCCCCCACGAAATAGGATTTTCGACCTTGGGCAATTTCTCTCTATCTTTTTTTTTTTTTTTTTTTTTTGCTTGTCAACTTTTTCAGGTAAGTAAAAAAAATTTCTGTGGCTGCCCCCCCCCCCCCCCCCCCCCCCCAACTTTCAAAATCGATGCTACGTGCCTGCTTAGTGTCTGATTTTCTGAGTTAAGGTTTTGAATCATAGCATTTTGTGTTTCTATTTTTTGACAGAGGTCTGTTTTTATTGTTGTTAAATCTTTCAATGACAGTGTCGATTTTTGCAGTCATTGGTTGTATAGACTGAGCTATAATTGTTCCTAGTTGTGGTAATAAGGCCGGAATAAAAGATGGTGCAGCTGTTTGGACGAACCCGGCACTGTTGATAGTAGCTTGAACTAGTTCCATGATATTAAATGTTTTGCCTTGATGTGTCAAGATCATTGGTGACATACTACTAGTATCTTTTTTAACAGAAGTTAGATCGTCAAGAGAGTTTCTGCGCCGCAATGGCGCGGGGGCACCAACGTGATCCGCCACTTCTGATGGACTAACTGTTTGGTCCACATTCCGTTTAATGCCCTGGGTTGTGGGTGTGTGTTATAGGTGGAATGCTTGTATCACTCATACTTGTAGTGTTTTTTTTTTTACTTGCTTATATCGTTCTTTTTCAAGATTACAAAAGTTTGGAATAACAACGGAAAAGATAGATGTCCAATCTTTTTTTTAAGTAGAGAATTTATATCAGTGAAATATAATCACATACTTTCTTTATTTTTCTATTTTATGAAAAAATTCAAAGAATGATTTTTTTTCATTTTATAAAAATATTTGAAAATGCGGACCTACATGACTATGCACAGATTTGGAAGGGGGTAATTTGCCGCTATAAATAGATTTAGATAAATTCATACATCTTAACTTTGTGATAACGTCATAATTTGCGGCCTTTTTCATGACGTCACAATGGCCTGTTATTGTTTCGTCACAATCATTCTGCGACATTGTTGTGGAGCTGCTGGTTGATCAGTAGCATTTTCCACCAAAATTACGGATTTTAGTGGGGTTTAGATTGTGATAAACAACACGGATATTGGAATTGTTCCATTTATCCATTCTGAGGAGCCATCAACTAAAGAAGACGTCATTGCGATTATTTTGGGGTGTGTCTTAGCATATCCCATACTGGACATATTTGGTAAGTTGAAGTTTTACAATTTATATTTTCACCATTATGCTGTAGCATTGCATTGTCATGAAAAGTACTAGCTCCCATTCTGTGTTTCGAATGTGTTTTCGCCTAAATAACATAATATAACAGATATCTAGTTTACGTGTTTATTATCAAAATAAAAAGTTTGAATATTTATAAAAACCTTTAAAAGTTAGCGTCTTTGAAATGTAAATATTTTAACCGTAAAGTTTCATTGTCATTATTCATAATACATATTTTTAGTTTTACCATACGATATTTAATACATGCTTTCAATATTTTTTATTTCTCATTTAGATAACTGGAGGTAAAATTCAGCGTAAAATTACGATGAAATCTCCAACCAAAGGAAACTACAATCCGGACTTCTTTGAGTCAGGGTGTTCGATTAATTTTCCTAATCCCGATGATCCTGGACTTGGACCATCTCTCCGAGCTCTCCGTCAAGTAGGAATGGGACGTTTCACACCAGAAAGCCATACACCTAGGTCCCGTCAGATGAGGTCCAAGATCGAGAGCGAATGCAGTGATGTTTCAAACAGACGAGGAAATGGCGGAAACATCTCAAGCCATCTTGTCGGACCAAAATCTAGAACAAAGAGTTCTAGCAGCAAATCGGGGAGTTCGCTTTTGGAAAACAAGCATCCAGCTAAATCTAAGCACCAAGAGAGAATGAGCCCAGCAGGAGGCAGCAGTGTTGTGAGTTCTCGTGCAAGCATGCACACAGAATCTGCATCAACACCAAGAACTGCCAGCGTGATTTCGGGATATATCAAAAACAGTGCTACGCCAGTAAGTGGACAGAGTAGTCTATCTATCCCCTCTGCTGATTCCGAGCTAGCTTTCACTTTAGAGGATAATGGCAGAAGCATTTCTCATAGGAGTCAAGCACCTTATACCTCATACTACTCAGATAATCGTCCAAGATCTCTTGCAAGTCGAGTTTCAATAATGGACAACAGCAGCTCTGGAGCTTCATACAGTGACGTTATTCCACCAGGAGACTATGAGCCAAGTGGCTGCTCCTCTACACCACATTCATCCCCAGTGATTGGAATGGAGGTTCTCTCAGGTCAAGAGGTAACTGTGCAGGAAAAGATGATAAACACCAAAGATGCAATGAGAAATATACCTAAGCCAGGTCCATCAGAGTCTCCAACCAAGAGTCAATCATTCAACAAATTTAAACAAATACCTACTGGAACTTCCATGCATAAACTTAAAAACGATAAACATGGCAGACAAGATGATGAAACAACTGAAAAAAATGTCAAAGAACAGGAAGATGGTAGAGACAAAGGAATGTGCAAAGACACTTTAAAAGTGGCCAATAAAGGAGGGAAGATGGCTGTGAAGACAGGCAAAGAGGCGAAAAAGAAAGCTAAACCAACTGTGGCAAAGGCAAATGAAAAGGATGTTGAGGTCAAGCTAACTGCCCTAGAGAGGAGGAAAGCTTATGAGGCCAAAATAAAAGAACGTAAAAAGAAGGCAGAAAGCAAGATGAATGTCAAAAATCAAGGATCAGAACCATCTCGAGGAAAGATCCAAAAGAATATCACTGACAGCAACACAAGAAAAATGGAAGGCAAAAAATCAAAACAACCTGATAACAAGGTCAATGTTGCTGACTGCTACTATGAAGATGATTTTGAGTCTGATGATGAGGAAATCCGTTTACCAGACCCCAGAGTTTTTAACAGCAAGAAAGCTGAAGCCCGCTATCAGGGAACCCAGGATGAAGAAGCAGTGGCATCTGGCACTGCTGCCAACAGACGTAGCGACAGACTTAATGGAGATGATGGGGATTTCACTGAGAAGATACCCTTTCTTAACATTCTGACCCCAAGAGAAGTCCAAGATATATACCAAGACATGTACTATGGAAACAATGGACAGATGAGCGGCAGAGCAAACCCAAATTCAGCCAGAACAGATGTAGATATTGAGTATGTTAATCCCCAACAAATTGCTGCTTTGAAGCAAAGTGGTTACACCTATTCTCAGTACGAGAACACCCGCCCCATGGCTAGAGACATGCACAGAGAGTATGGACATGGAACAATGGGTCTTGACTACAATCAAGCCACCAGGAGAAATACTGGTCAGGAGGACATTCCTCAATATGAAAATGGACAATACTTTGCTAAACCCAATCCCAGAAAGAAAACAACAGTTGGCTACGTTCCTGGTTATGGAGCAGTAAAGGTGCCAATGAACAGCAGACAAGCTGATGTGAAGAAGAGAAACATTGATCCTTCTTATGTTGTTTACAATGCAGATGGAACTGTATCTAGCAGGCCTAAAAAGAATGTTGTAGGCTACGTCCCAGGGTATGGACCTGTACGAGGGGTTTCTGTTCCAAGGGGTCAGCAAGTGCCCTCTAGAAGAGTTCAGCTCCCTCCTGTGAACCCCAATCAGAGCTGGTGTCCTTTTCATGGTCTCCTCGAGGATGGAAAGCCAGTCCAGGGTAGAAAGAAGACTGTTGATGTTTTGGAATCCCGTGCCAAAGCCAAGCCATTCAACACATACGTAGATGATGAGGCCTCCCGAAGATTTGAGCGACAATTTGCAAAGCATTACTAGATACATTTTTTTTTTTTTTTTTGCTTTCAGTCTTTGATTTTTTAATTTTTTTGTTTGTCTTTGCATCTCAATTTTTTGTAACTATCATAGCTGATGTACCTGCTCATATTATTATTTTTTTCTTTTTTTTTTCTTTTTGTAAGATAAGATGATGATGTATCTGCAGACACTTTTTTATTTTCATGACTTATTTTGTTCTTAAATTTTCAGTTTCAGCATTATGACCATAATTATTATCATTCTTTCATCACTTTAACTTTTAAGATAATTTAATTTAATTTCTTAATTTATTTTGCTCATTTAAACTCTTCTTTTATCATAATTAGCACAAAACATGTTTTCATTATCAGCATCATCATTGGGTTGTTTTGTTTTTGTTTTTTGTTTTTTGTTTTTTGTTTTTTGGTTTAGGTAAAAAAAAATACAAAAAAGTAAAAAAAAAAATTAAAAGATAAATCAAAAAAATAATGAAAAAATATGTGATTCTACTGATATACTTTTATTTCGAATCTCATTTTATTTGCCTATTTTACTTTTTTTTTTCATCATTAGTTTCCTCATTTTTCTTATCATTATTTTGTTTTGTGTTTATTTTAGAGAGAAAAAAACTACAAAAAGTAAGAAAAAAATACAAGATAAATCAAAAAATAATGAAAAAATATGTGATTCTACTTATATTTTTATTTAATTTCTCAATTTTCCTATTTTATTTTATTTTTTCCCCATTTGCACCACTTTTTTATTAGTGTCAGCCTCATTTTGTTTTGTTTTTATTTAGAAAAAAATTACAAAAACAGAAACAAAAAAATAATAAGATAAATCAGAAAAAGAATGAAAAAATTGTGTGATTCTACTTTTTTTTTTTATTTCTCAGTTTTTTTCCCCCCCCCCCCCCATTTTACTTCTTTTTTTTATCATCATTGACACTATCATTTTTTTATCATTATCATCATTATTTTATTTTTTTTTAGAATAAAAAAGTACAAAAAGAAGAAAAAAATAAAAGATAAATCAAAAAAAAGAATGAAAAAAAATGTGATTGTAAACTTTGTACATTTTATTTTCTTACCGTAACTCTTTTTTTCTTCATTGCCAATTTATTTTTCCATAAGTTATTTTCCTCCTTTAATTATTCTTTTCATCAGCAGCAGAATGGGCAGTAGCATCATCTTTGTTTTGAGTTATCATTAGGTTTTTATCTCATACATGTCTCTTTTTCCAATGCCTTGTATTGCTTTTATTCTTAAAGGCCTTGATTTTTTTAAAAGACAAAGATGTTATTATTTACTGAGGACTGTATTAAATATGTACAGTTTAGAACCTCCTTTATCTCTGTACTTGATGTCAGTTTCTTTTCAATAAAATATCAAGTGCAATCTTCTGTTTCTCATTTATTGATGCAGCACTTAGTGTCATATAATTTTCAAAAAGGATTGTACATACCTTTACTTTCTTTTAATTGTGCAAAAAGACTAGAGTAAGCTTTAAGAATATTGCATTTTAAATTAATACTACATGTATTAAAAATGAAGAGTGCAATGGCAACTCGTATCAAAGGTTAAAGTTTCTCAAATTTAGTAATAAAAGAAAAGTCGTATCACAAGAAATATGAGAGAGAGATATTAAAACGCTAGCATCAATCCTTCAAAAGATGGGCAACATTAAAGTTTATCAAAAGCAGGTCACATTCAATACGCCAAAGTTGTTGGTAGGTTTTGTCACAAGGAAAAGACCTGTGAAATGCGAAAGCGCTTAATCAACTTTTCATAAGAAATGGTCAAGGATTAAGTTTTTCTTTTCAAATTGGGTCAAACTCGAAAGTCAAGATCAAAAATATTGGTATATAAAGGAAGATCTTGTCGCAAGGAATACACTATTAATACGAAACGTGTGGCCATTATTAAAGTTTTTATTAAAATTTGGACAAGCTACAAGGTCTAGGATATAAGGTCGAATATGTTTGGTACCCAAGGAAAGTTCTTATCACAAGAAATTAACGTGTTGCGTATGAATGCCCTATGCACAATATCTTTACAGTCCACGAAGAATATCTGTCAATGTCTCTGTTCCTTGAGTTTTCCAAAATTAGGTTTCCATGCATAAGTTAATTAATCGCTCAAAAAAGTTATGACCATGGTTAAAGTTTGATAACATTTTGCAAAATGTGGGTCAAACTCCAAGGTCGAGGTCAAGAGATCAATATTTAGTATCCAAAGAATGGTCTTGTCACAAGGAATGCCCGTGGTATACGAAACCCATATATATCCAACCAATCAAATGTTATGAACAAGATTAACTTTTGCAAAGAAACATATAAACGGGCAGGTGCAAAACTTTATGCCACTGAATCTTGGATTACGGAGGGCATGCCAGAGTCAAAAGGGGAGCACCCCAACCCCCTTAGTCTTAATTGGTAAATTCAATTCAGAACATCACTAAAGTCGGATATACACGTGGTATTTCGGACTAAAGGCGCATTATAGTCAAATTATTTATTTTTCATGCCCGCTGTCAGGGACAGATTTAATCCCTGTTGAGATTCTGCTAGGCTAGATATTTGGACTGACGCCGTCAGTCCAAATATCTAGCCTAGAAGAATCTCAACAGGGATTAGGACAGATTATTTTCAAGATAATCAAGGACATATTGTTTATTTTCTTCTTCTCAGAAGAAAGTCTGATAAGCAAATCAAGGATACTTTGTGGCAATTTTGGTTAAAATTGGCCTAGTGGTCCTGTCGAAAATGAAAAAAATTAGTCTACAGACGGAGATACAGAAAGACAGACGCCGGACAAAATGTATTCAGAAAAAGCCCTCAGGTGAGCTAAAAAGGACTGTTTTTTAAAGGAGGGGGTAGCACTATTTCTGTCATTGACAGATGAGGACAAATCATTTATTTTCAGTATTTTTGAGAACAGTTTATTTATTTCCAAAATTAAATGGTCGACCCCCCCCCCCGCGTCAACCGGATTTGTTTAGTCTGATCATGTTGGTTCATAATTTAGTGACCGTGACTCAGTTCCTATGCAAGTTCAACACATTGTCGAAGAGCAAAGTCAGTATGTCATTGCTTAGACTGTATTTTAACCGTTCTCTGCGAAGATGCATTGCTTGTAGATACCTAGCAACACAGTCTACTCATGGTCCAAACGCTGGTAAGGTAGAAGATATTCGGGACCTGCGAAATATCGGAATCATTGCCCACATCGACGCCGGCAAAACGACGACGACCGAACGGATGCTGTACTACTCTGGGTTTACAAAGCACTTAGGTAAACTGTTCATATTAATCCAAATTTTACATAAATATTAAGCATTTTCTATTGTTTATTCAGAAAGATTTTATACCAAAGTGTTCCGAATGAAAACCATTAAAAAGGGGGGGGGGGGGGGTTACAAGGATTGGATACTTTGGTCATTTTCATTTACAAAGCATCAACCTTGTTACAAAAGTCCCAAGATTCAAATTCATATCTAGTGGAAACATTTATATTTATGGTGTACACCCTTAATTTGATACATATTCATGCACGTTTGGTCATGATGGGGCATAAAGTTTCTTAGGAATGAACTTGCTCCGAAAACTTTAACCAGAGTGCCAGCAATGATGCCAGAGGTATTGCTGAGGGTACAGTGTATAGCATAAGTTCATCTTGATCTCTGGAGATAAAAAGGATTTTTTGGAGTAGAGTCCCATCGTCGGTAACCCACGGGTGATTCACGTCGATTCTCTCTATCAAGGAAGCTTGCGGACTCAAAACCCGTGGTTTGCAACGATGGTAGAGTCCATACTCATAAACATTAATCCCATTTCAAAAACACCCAAAAAGCAAAAGTCAAATAAAGGGGAAAAAATTAAGCAATGGAAATAAACAGATAAAGGATCTTTTTTTTTTTTAAAAAAAAACATAAAAAATGGACCGTTCTTCATTTAGATTTCATTTTGATGTTTAAATGCTTTTAACTTTCAATTTTCTATAGGTGACGTAGATCATGGGGACACAGTCACAGATTATTTGGAGGAGGAGAGAAACAGAGGAATAACAATCTCTTCAGCAGCTGTAACGTATCAGTGGAAAAAACACAGGGTCAATCTCATTGACACACCAGGTCAGATCTCAAACAAAATAATAAAAGTATCAAAAACAAACAATTTTGCACTTTCAAAATTAGTCCTAGCTGTTTTAATTCAAGTGACTGAACATTAAATATGAGGATACAACTGTCCATGCATGACCATGGATCTGTAACAGAACATTTTATGTGCCTCTGCTGGAGATTCAGGGCCTCTGGCATATGTCAGTCCAATGCTATACAGAATGAGCTAAAAAGTTAACCATTTAGCCCAAGATATTTGTAAGCCATGTATTTGACACTGCCACAAATCTACATCTATTTACCTTCAGTATTTCTTTCATTTTGGTATTAAATGGTTATGCATTGGAATAGTACCTTATATACTCGCCTATAAGTCGGTCCGCCTATAAGTCGGTTGCATTTAATAAGCTTGTACATCAGATGGACTGACCTCATATAAAACCATACTTTTAATACCTCGCCTATAAGCCGGACAAAGAGTGTTAGACCAGAGATTAACTCCCAAAAAAACGACTTATAGACGAGTATATACGGTACATTGTACTCAAGATTTCGAATTTTTATACTTCTCATGACTAATATCAAAATGTTGGATGACAGGAGAATTGCCAGTCTATACTGTTAGCTACACATATTGTAATGAGTGTTGTCTTTTTTCTGGTTTATACACAGGACATGTGGACTTTACAATAGAGGTGGAGAGATCACTTAGAGTACTAGATGGAGCTGTCACCATTTTGGATGCCTCTGCTGGTAATGTAACAGTCAACATATTTTAAGAGTACATAGGCACATAAATATATTTTTAGGGTTGAAAAGAAGTTGACCACTGATTTTCTTATTACTCTTCTCCCACAATTTGTTTAATATTCTCACTTGTCAGCCAATAGGTTTTTGAAAAA